CTCCTACTCCCCCTCCTACTACCCCTACTCCTCCTCCTACACCTCCTACTCCTCCTACTCCCCCTACTCCCCCTACTCCTCCTATTACTCCTATTCCTCCTCCTCAAACTCCTCCTCCTACATCTCCTCCTCCTTCCCCTACTCCCCCTCCTATTCCTCCTGCTCCTGCAAATTGTATTCTTCCTCCTCCTACTACTCTTCATACTCCTACTCCTCCTGCTTCTACTCCTACTTTTCCTCCCCCTACACCTCCTCCTCCTCATGCTCCTCCCGCCGGGGAGAGAAACTGATTCGCCGTGGATTTGGGTTCGAGTCCTGGTTTCTGGTTCCCAGGTTCTCTAATAATTTCGAACCAGTTTGGACCGGTTGAACCAGTTTAACTTGACACGTAGGTTTAACTTTACTCGTGGGTGACACGTGGGTTTAACTCAACACGTGGGTTTAACTTGACACGTGATTTTGACTTACCACGTGACTTTAACTTGACACGTGGATCTAACTTGACACGTGGATCTAACTTGACACGTGTGTTTAACTTAACACGAGGGCTTAACTTGACACGAGGGCTTTCACGGCCTGTATTACGATTCATAACAAAACAACTCAACGCGTTCGTCAATGACACTGTCCAGTGTACCAGTGACTTATACACGAACCCATCGACTCACGTAGAGACCCATAGACTCGCGTAGAGACCCATAGACTTGCGTAGATGTATTTGTGGTTTACCAGTGCGCTCGAGTGGAGTGAGTTGATGGCCTGAACCCGGTCACCAACGACTGCGAACAAATCAATCCGCTATGAATGTTCGTTTCTCGCGCGGTGTGGCTCAGATCCAGCCGGGACATTTGAAAGAGTCCGCGTTTGATTGGAGAAGGGTCATTGCCCGAAACGTCGCCCGTTATGTGTTCTTTCCTTTAAGGCCACACACAGTAGTGTTGTTATTGACGAGTGTGCTGAGTTGTTGTTGCTGTTGTTGGCTGTGCCTATGTACCGCTGCCAACGCTGCAGCAGCAGCACCACCAAAAAAATAATGCATCCAATTTAATGAGCGATGCAAGGCCGACACTTCCCTGCCCTTTGCGCGACGAGAGAAAAATGAGAGAGAGAGAGACACAGAGAGAGACAAAGCGATAGCAAGGGCCACTCCCGGGCGCCAGGCGGTGGCAGGGATGGTGGCTACGCTGCTGCTGCTGCTGCTGCACGTGGCAGCCTGTACCCCAGTGCGCTGTGGAGGCAGCAGCAGGGAGGGTTGGTGGATCACCGCACAGACGTCGCTGTGGAACTCCCTTCCTACCACGTGGGTGGGCGTCGAGGAGGAGCCGTACCCTGGCTCGCCAGGAGAAGGCGGGAACAACAAAGTGTGGACTAGTCGCCAAATGTTTCCATCTGTACGGTGACAGAGTAGTGCTCCGGTTTGCTCCCACGTGAATAACACTCATCTCCATTATCAACTGCCAGAACAGATCTTCAAAGAAAAAGCCAACGCGGCAGGCCCATCCTCATGAAAGAGCCCTGCGTGGTTCTTCAGGATACATGAATACGATTTCCAGTGAAGCCGTTCCAGTAAAATGATGCGAGTCGCTAGTATCGGCGTTCGCGTGGCAAGGGACGCGAGATCGCATCGCGCCGCTCGCCCGGCATGCACCTAAATAACCCCGCGGGGAGCAGCACGGGGGGGGGATGGAGAAAGAGGGGGGGGAAGGAGGAGGAGGGGACGAACGACGTTGTGTGGGGTCGCGCACGCCGGCTCGGCCGCACGGCACGCTCGCTCGCTCGCTCGCCGCGAGATAATTTGCAATATAAAGTCGCATCGACCTTAATGCTGCTCAGCACTCGGGGCCAGGTTCGATAATCTGTAAAAAGTCCTTGCTGGCCGCTCCGCTGCTATTGAGCCCCCCCACCTCCTCCTCCGAGAGTAACAAATAAATCAATATCGACTCGGCGAGCAGGTGAGAAGGCGTCTTGGCTATCGCACGCGATAGCCCAGGAGGGAGGGAGGCGCGGTGCTTAGCGGGACCTAATTGCCTCTTTGGAGTAAATGTTGGGGATCCGTGAGATGAGAGAGGGAGGGATCACGACGCGGATTGGAATATGGGGAAGGGGGGGAGGTGAAGGAGGGGTGGGGGGAGGGAGGGGTGGGGGAGGGAAGGGTAGGGGGGAGGGAGGGGCGGGGTGTGAGGGAGGGAGATGGTCTGTGAACTCTAATTATAAACAGGTGCGTCTTTGTGTGGTGCGGGAGAGGGATTGTTAATTGCAGCGCTCTGCGCGGCTCTGCAAGCGTGAGTCAAATGAATGCACTTCCAGTGCCTCCTCCTCGTCCTGTGCCGGCCTCACTGGCGGCGTTTATTAATATGCAGAGCGAAAGCAATCACAGCCTTTGGCTAGAATTGCTTTCAGACTCAGCTCTGTAATTTGTTTTTTTCAGTTTTATATATTTATCCTCTCTGCCTCTCTGCCTCTCTCCCGCCAACCCACCCATCTCTCTCTCTCTGTTGCTCTCCCCTCACTCTCCCCACCACCACCACTGCCCCGTCCCTCCCTCCCTCCCTTAACGCTCGCTCACTCACTCTGTGACTCCCGCGCGCGGCTTGCTCGCTCGCTCGCTCTCTCATCCTCCCACACTCTGTTTGCAGAAAATGAGTTTGGGGCTGGACTGTTAACGTTGAGTGGGTGGAATCGATGGAAGACAGTGGCGGTCGCGATCTGACTCGGGACGTGTGTGTGTGTGTGCATGTCTGTGTGTGTGTGTGTGTGCATGTCTGTGTGTGTGTGTGTGCATGTCTTTGCGTGTGTAAATGTGCTCTCTAACAACACTTGCCTCAGAGTTTGATTCCTGCCCACGACCACCAACACCGGTGACGATTCGCTCTAGGCCGACTCAATCTCAAATATGTACCTGGTGCGGTGTGAAAACATCGCCACTGGGGAGACAAAGGCGGCCGGGTGGAGGCCACCCACCCCCTCATGTGCCATGCCGGCCTTCATAGGGGTTCGCTAACAACACTTGCCCCAAGACTCTGTTAAGGCTACATTGGGGATCTTTGTCTTTGTGTGTGCGCTTCGGCACACGGTTGCAGACACACGCACTTGCACATATCAGCTCAAGCACACAGGTGCACAAACATACACACACGTGAACACATGCACAGGTGCACAAACACAGACACGCGCATATGTGAACACACACGCGCGCACATGCACTTACGCACACACACCTGAACTCACATGCGCCAAGGTTCACATGCACACACACACCCAGATGCGAGCACGCCCCACATGAACTCACTTACAAACACAAAGACGCAGATCCCCCGTATCGCCTTCGATAGACAGTTGTGGCAAAGGCTGTTCGCGAGAAGGCGAATTATTCGTTTGGGAATATCGACCGATATCATCGCCACCCCCCATCTCCACGCCGCTAAAACCCCCTAAAAAACAAGTCATAGTCGTATTAATAATTATTATAATACAGTACTGCGTTGTAATTCATCGTCTGGTTGTTCAGCGATAGGGCACTTCGATAGGGGTTCATCCAGCAGTGGATTAACCACGGCTAGCTACATGTGGGTAATCATTAGTTGTGCGTGACGATCACACGTGGCGGACAGATCCGCTGTCGTGTGACCTCGTCCCTGAGTCTCCGTCGGCTCCCTCCAGCGGTCTAATCAGGAACTGCGATTGTGTGACAAGAACGAATCTTCCCACAATGCAATTTGCCAGCAACGATTTTATAAACGTTACGATTTAATATAACGTCGTTTATTTAGCAGCTGTATGATTTTTGTTGGGGCTTTGTCTGCTACCCATTAGCTACCAACAGTCTCAATATTCATACGTCTATCTAAAAACTGCTAATCACAAAAGAAGCTTGAAATGTAATTGTCATCAGCCGGCCCCATTGTGTAAAGAAGCGCAGTCTCCATCTCCTGTCTCCCGACTGGCCAACTTGCGTGCAATAAAGAAGGGTCATTGCCTGAAACGTCACCTATTATTAATGTAGTTATTTTAAAGGCCACACCACTGTGGTGTTATTGACGAACACTTATATTGCTCGGTCGAGACGCGACACTTGTGGTTGTGCGAGTCGTAATTCCACCTCACATGGGCATCGTTCGCCCATTCTCTCTCCTCCCCTCGCCCCTCCACCACTCCCCGTCCCTCGCCTACCGTTCCGTGATCCCTAAGTACCCCTCGATCGCGGTCACTCATTCCTCAATCCTTGAAGCAACGACAGCATTCCATTCGGTGTCACCGTTTTGTAAGCTCCGTCAAGCGCCTTCAGTGGGCCCCACGCCGGCGAGACGTCATATGCCTTGCCTGGTATGCAAAGAGGTCGTGGGTTCGATCCCGAACTCGTCCCTGACGCCCGTGTATTTGGAGGTTGCATGCTCTCCCCGCGGTGGCGTGCATTTTTCTCCGAGTCTTCCGGTCTTTTCCCCTCCACATTCAGAAAGATGCGCTTTGAGTGTTTGACTGTCATACATCTCCACGTCATGACAAGCCACTTCGTTGAGCTGTCATTTGTGGCCAGGTCGCTTCTGAAAAAGAGCTACGTAGCTCAGTCGGTCTTGCTTGTCAGTTGACCGTGAACGCGCTCCATTAGATTGGTGCTCATCTCCAGTTTCCAGTCCTGCAGAGCCAATTGTTGGAAATTCCACGTTCCTATGGCAGGACGGTAGAGGTGAGGGGGCTGTATTAATTAGCGCTGTGATGGGACGGCGACCGGCGGCGGGGGCGGTGGTGAGGCGAGGGAGGGGGGCGGGGGGCGCACTCTGGGAGCAGCTGCGTGGGGTGGTGGCGCGTGGGTAGCGCTCCTCATGCTCTCTCTGTCTCTCTCTCTGTCTCTCTGTCTCTCTCTCTGTCTCTCTGTCTCTCTCTCTCTGTCTCTCTGTCTCTCTTCTCTCTGTCTCTCTCTCTCTGTCTCTCTGTCTCTCTCTCTCTCTCTCTGTCTCTCTGTCTCTCTCTCTCTGTCTCTCTGTCTCTCTCTCTCTGCGCAGATGGAAACAGATGGGGAGATGAAGAGACTTCGAACCCGCTCCAAAGGTACCGCTCGCCGCTCTCCTCTTCCCCCTCCCACCCCTCTCCAACTCCCACCCCCTCCGCTCCCTCTTCCCCACCCCCTCTCCCACAGCCACACCCTCCTCCCCCACCCCCCTTCTCCGCACGTCCCCTCCCCTCCTCAGCCTCTCGCTCCTCCTGCCCCTCCCCTCCTGTCTGTCCCCCTTTCCCCCACTCCCTTCCCTCTTCCTCCCCCTTCCCCCCCTTCCCCCCTGCCTCTCTCTGCATCACGAGAGGCGCAATTGCGGGTGATTTGCGTGCCGTGTGTGCTGCCAGTATGCGAGGTGTGTTCGTGTGTGGGGGGGCGGCGGCGTAGAGATTAACTCGCCGCGCTACGAACCGGGCTACCCGAGTTCGATTCCGGCTCACGGCCAACACCAGGGGCGATTATCTGGACCGGTCCTGGCCCTCCCCTAAGTCTACTCATTCTCAAATGAGTGCCTGGTTCGGTGTGTAAACATCGCCACTTGGGAGACAAAGGCGGCCGGGCGTGGTGCTGGCCAGGTGCTCGTGAAGGGAAATTGCATGAGTATAAAAACAACCTTTGTAGCCGTGGTTCCAAAAGCCCAAGATGAGTAGCAAAAAGGGAGGGAGGAGGAATGACCTGGCCAAGATGTCGGGGATGAAGTTAGGGTGGTGATGATGATGATGAGAGGGGAAGGGAAGAGAGAGGAAAGAAGGAGCGAGCAGCAGGGAGCTGCGCGAACGAAGAAGAGCGGCGTCTGTTTTCACAGTGGGCGGGGTTCAGAGTGGGGGTAGCCACACGGAAGTCACGTGACTTACAGGAGGCTTGACCTGATCTTACACTCTCAATACATTCAAAATGCAATTTTCTTTCATGCAAATTAAATATACGTTCTATACGGTTATAATACCATTTACTTATCCAGGAGATACCGGGTCTCAAGATTCCTTTTCAGGAGGGTCATGCTGCGTTGAGATGTAGCATAGCTGTATATGGGAGGAGAGCGGAGGACCCTGAGGAAGCCCGCCATGCATGCCAGATGGTATCACTCAAAGCTCTACACGGATTTATTCAATCTCCTGGCCACCTAGCAGCACAGCAGCCACCGCTTTCGCCACCAATCCTACCACCACCTCCACCGTCACCATCTCCACCGCCACCACCGATCCTCAGTTAAAACTTAGAGAAATGTTAAACTGCCGCGCCCGGAGATAGAATCGAACCGACGGCCTTTAGGATGTGTGGGTGACCACGACACAGCTGTAGCGGCAGCTGCCTCCGTCTCTCAGTTAAACACAATTTAAACGCCTCGTGGTTGCTGCTCGAGACACTCCTAGATGTGCGGCTCATCGCTTATTGACCCTTGATTTGGGCGGGGGGTTAGGCCACACACAGGATTAATCTGACCACATTTTGTGTCGTAAAAACCCTCCGCCACCCGACGCAGCCAATACAATGAAATCGCGTGCCGTGCAAGCGTTTATCGACTCGCCACGTTACTATCCCTGCGTTCGTTACACTCACCGGTTGACTTGGAGAGCAACTGTTCAGATTTAGCGATAACCTCTCACTCAACCAGTCACTCACTCACTTACCCAGTCACCCACTCACCCAGTCACTCACCCAGTCACTCACTCACCCACCAAGTCACCCAGTCATTCACTCACCCACCCAGTCACCCACTCACCCATCCAGTCACTCACGCAGTCACCCACTCACTCACGCAGTCACCCACTCACTCACCCAGTCACCCACCCAGTCACTCACTCACCCACCCAGTCACTCACTCACCCAGTCACTCACCCAGTCACCCACTCACCCACCCAGTCACTCACTCACCTACCCAGTCACCCACTCACCCATCCAGTCACTCACTCACGCAGTCACCCAGTCACCCACTCACTCGCCAATTCACATGCACACTCAGAGCCAGAGTTGGCAGTGATCCGATAACGCAACGGATTGCTTGAAACTGTGTCAAGCAACTGCAGGGCTAGATGATAATGTATGCTCAATGAAGAAGGGCCATTTCCCAAAACGTCGTCTCATATATGTTTTACTTCTAAGGCCGCACACGTGGAGGCGTTATTGACGAATGTGTTGAGATTTATTCTTCAGTAATAATTCACGGGATCACGTCCATGCAACAGTCGATTACCCATTGGACAAGCTTCATTGAGCTTTCATACAAAGCGGTAGGCATATGGAGGGAGGGATGATGGTTCTGTGAGTAACGAAGTCCGGGTTTAATCCATGGCTGTGGTCTCAACAATGCTAGGAGGCATAGCGCAACGCACGGCACGGGCAGAGAAGAGGTGGAGCTGAGTGGACTTGCCGATGACTGGTAGCAGCGGTGTCAAGATCGGCCTATGTGGAGGAGGCTCGTGAAGGACGCTGCTACTGGGGAGTTGGAGGCAGTCGCCCTCCAGCAACAACGGAAAGCAGAGGAGCGACGCTCACAACAACGAGCGGAGTGCCTGGCGGCTAAAACGACTCGAGTTGGCACAGTGGGGAGCACAGTTGGTTCATCTGCCAGTTATCCCAGACAGCCAACCCAATGCACATGGGTCTGTTCCGTCACCTCCAGACAGCGGGCCTTCGACACTTCACGTGGCCTCAAAGTGCACATAGCCTGGCACAAGCGCTGTGGTGACGTCACCGCCACTTAATGGTGAACGGCGGCGGCTGTTGTTGTTGTTGTTGGTATCTGCCCCTGCACGTCCGACGAGATGTCTTAACTCCGTCACGACTTGTCTCCATCTCTCTCCCTGTCTCGCTCTGCTTCGCTCTCTCCATCTCCCTGTCTCGGTGTCTCTGTCTCTCTCTATCGCTCTCCCTCCCTCCCTCTCTCCATATCCCTGTCTCTCTCCCTCCCTCTCTCCGTCCCTCTGTCTCGGTGTCTCTGTCTCTCATTACAGCAGCAGCAATGGAGGCATCGGCACACGAGCTGCTCAGGTAACTACGACGGGGGGCAGGGGGGCGGGGGGAGGGGGCGGGGGGAGGGGGCGGGCCGTGGGGGGGGTAATTTTGGGGGAGGGTCTCGGATCAACCTGGGGGGTGGGGTGCAAACATCGTCATAGCTGGCATTCCCCTATCCCGTCAGCACCCGCAACGCCATTCATTCAAACTCGACATCACCACCGGCAGCCGAGGTCTATCGACTGCTGGACGAGGGATGGCGGTTCCACTGGCTGTAGGGGTGGTCTCGGGGGTGACGCGCGCAAGCTCAGCAGGTGCGACGCCTGGTGGCTCCGCCAGTGATCGCTGCTGAGGCGGCACAAATGAATGGCGAGCCCCGTTGTGACGACTCTGTGTGAGGCGACGCCGATGCAGACAATTCGCCTGTGGACATACCTGTCCCTGCACATAGAACATCCGTACGACGCATATCACTGGAATCAACAACCCCTATACGTGAAGCAGCCCCCCTCCTGCACTCCTTTAGTTCCTCTCTCAAAGCCTCTCCTCTCTCCATCTCCCATTCCCTTCCTTTCCCCTCCCCGTCGCCCCTCCACTCCTCGCTGCCCCTCCCCGATAGTCCTGTCGTGACTCCACGTGCCCTCTGTTATGGTCACTCGTTCGTCGGCCCTTGCACTGCCCCTGTCGTCTCAATCACTCGCTTGTTGTTAACGCTTTTAAAATATACAAAATAACTCGGTCAATTCAGCAGCGTGGATTCACGCGAGACCTGAACTCTGCTGATGAGACAGTAAACTTCAAAACCGGTCCAGAGTTGTGCTGCTTGTGCTGAACTACCAGTACTGCTGGGATTATGCACTCTCAGACGTAAGGCCGCGTAGCTCCTGATGGGATGTGTAAAATATAAATGTATATTTTGCATCTGGAGGGACAGATATGTGAAGGTGGCGAATGATTGCGGAGATGTTTCGCTGCCGAGTCAGCTCGTTGCCGTGTCGCCTGTCGGTTGGAGATGTCAGCGTCACCGATGCTAGGATACAGCCATCGTCATCATCGTCACTATTTTATTTTATTGACCAGGTAAATCCCACGGAGCTAAATAGCTCTTTTCCAGAAGCCACCTGGCCACAAATTATAGCCAAATACTCTGAACGCGTGATGTTGATTCTAAACGTGGAGGAAAAACTTGAGACAAAATCCACGTGACCGCGGGGAGAACACGACAACTCCAAATTCCGTATACAGCAGGCGCCAGGGTCGGGGTCGAACCCACGCGCTCCTCCTGCATAACCAGGCGAGGGAGATCACATCTCTCCACCGCAGTGCCCCATTGTCAGCAGCAGCCATGGTCAATCCACTGCTGGATGAAGGCATCTCCTAGAGGCTGTCACCTCTCACGACCCTGCGGTGCGTCAGGGCAGCCCCAGGCACGCGAGGCGACGTGAGCTGCTGTCGAGGAGACGACGGTGGTGGCTGGCCGCAGGGTCGCACTGCGATTGGCAGGATCGTACCACGTGGTCGCACGCAAATACATCTGAGCCCAATGCAATGCGCAGAGCAATAGCTTCTAATTTGACTGTTTAATGTCAATACGTCTATTTGAGCAAGAGTGATGCCTTTGTCACTTTTTAAATGGGAGTTGGATGTAACTCAATAGCCACTATTAGTGGAATTATTCAGACACTAATTTAAAAACTGGTAATCAAAATACATTCTTAATGAAAATACATGCTTAACATTTAATTCTCAACAGCTCGCTCTACTGGCCTCTCTCTTTACGTGCCGTGACGAAGGGCCCATTTCCCGAAACGTCGCCTATGACATTTATTTTAAATCCACACACTCAGTGTTGTTGTTATCGACACGAAACGTGCCGATGTTGCTGTTGTTGTCGTTGATTGTGCACCACGGATAACGCAGCAGCAACAACAATCACCAAAATAATATAATTGACATTTGACACGTTCTGAATCGGCCTTTTACTCTGCAACGTAAGGGCGGGGCTTGGGCTCACGAATCGTTGGATCCTCATTAAATCTGCATTTAATCAACACAACGAATTGAAAGGAATCCCGCCGTTACACGCGCGCGCTGCCTTTAACACGCGGAGCCAACGCAACTCTCGCGCCGCGAACTTCCCACCCTGCACGGGAAATTGATCTGCGGTGGAGGAGGAGGGGGCCACGGGGGGAGCGGTGGGGGCAAGGGGAGGGCTGGGGGCATGGGGGGGCGCGGGGGAGGGGTGGGGGCATGGGGGGCGGGGGAGGGGGTATCTCTCCCGTCTCTCTCTCTCTCGTTTTTCCTGTGGCATTTTTTGCTTTTTGCGGACGTCAGGTTAATGGCGTTCACCTTGAAACGTCCTCAGCGGGCTGCCACATTCTGACGGCTTCATCTCTCTCGGCATCATCCCGCATTGGTGAACCCATTCTGACAGCAATCTACCCCTCTGCCCTGCTTTGCATAATTTATTTTTTCATTCCCCCCCCCCCACGCAAATCTGCATATTTCATGTAAATTGGACTTGAAGTCACACAACAGAAGGGCAAACGGGGTCATTTGTTTTAGAGAGAAAAAAGAGAGAGAAGAATAATGATTTTCTCTCTCTGTGGCTCTCTCTCTCGCGCTCTCCCTCTCTCTCTAACCCCGCGCGTAAAGAGGAGAGGATAATGTAAGTGCTCTCTCTCGCTCTCTCGCTCTCTCTCGCCCTCTCTCGTTCTCTCTCGTTCTCTCTCGTTCTCTCTCGCTCTCTATTTCTCGTCCATGTCGCGAGTCGCGAGCCTGCGCTGAGAGCTCCGTTTTCTTTCACTGTTGTTGTTGTTTATAATCCGACCGCTTGAACGCGGAATGTTGACATCCGAGTCCATTTCAAAAACGTACAAATCCTGAGCGCGTGGGATATGCTACCGGCACACACAGATAAAGACAAAGATCCCTTCCCCGCCGTGTAGCCCATACACGGTGTTGGGGCAAGTGATGTAATGAGCATCACGAATTAAAGACCGGAACGGCACACGAAGTGGACGAGTGGGGTGGCCAGGACCAAACCCGGCTGCCTTTGTCTCTAAGGTGCTGATATTTACGCACCGCACCAGCTGTTCAATTTTAAGGCTGAGTTGACTTAGCGGAGGCCCATGACCGGTTGACATATTCGTCACTGATGATGATTGTTGTGAGCGGGATCGAACTCGGGCGGTTGCCTTCGCAACACAGTGCGCTAACCACTGCGCCACCGCTCCCCCCGAGACACACGGATCCAACGACATCATCAATCGCCGTTTTCCACTAAGTGTCGGAGACGTCACCACAAGGCTTGTGCCAGGCTAGGTGTACACACGCGTATCATTTAAGTCATTCGTAATATATCGATTGCAGCTTCTCTCTCCGGTGAGAAGAGAGAGTCTCCCCCCCCCCCCCAACTCGTCACAGCTGTGAGTGAGATTGCCTCGGGAGCGCATTGCCGCCCCCTCGTCACGGCGCCTGACACCAGCGTCGAGGGACGAATCGGCGAGCCCCAAATCCAAGGCCCCCTCGCTCCTTGCGCGTTCATCGGCTCGGATGGGTCGCGCTCATGCTGCGTGGCGCGCGTCTGTGCGCCTGTGTACGTGTGCGTGTTTGGACTGTGCCGTGTGTGTGCGTGTGTGTGTACGTGTGTGTGCGTGTGTGTGTACGTGTGTGTGCGTGTGTGTGTACGTGTGTGTGCGTGTTTGGACTGTGCCGTGTGTGTGCGTGTGTGTGTACGTGTGTGTACGTGTGTGTGCGTGTTTGGACTGTGCCGTGTGTGCGTGTGTTTGCTGGGGAGCGGTAGTGCAGTTGTTCGCTCGCTGCGCTACGATCCCGGCTACCGACTTCGATTCCCGCTCACGGTCAAGACGAGTGATAATTACGTGAACCAATCTTTGGCCTCCACGAGGTCGACAAACCTAAAAGAGTACTTGGTGCGGTGTGTGGACATCGCCATTGGGGAGACAAAGGCGGCCGGAGCGTGGTGGTGGCCACCTCCCCCCCCCCCGCCGCCTCGTGTGCCGTGCTAACTAACAGCACTTGCTCCTATAGTCCACTAAGGCTACACGGGGGATCTTTGTCTTCGTGTGTGTTGAGAGCGTGCCACCGGGCTGGCGTGCGCGTAGCGTTGCACGTCGGGCCCGCGCGCCTCCTACATTGTGCGTGGGTCCGGCACCTCAGACGCACACCGCGCTCGCGTTAATTAGCCCATTAATTACACCACTCTGTTCATTCATGCTTGGGGGTTTTTTTCTTCCTTTAACTATTCCAGTGAAGCGCCTCCACCAGCACCAGCGTGCGCTCCTAATTGCCACTCTTTTGCTGCATCATTTGCTGCCACGTGTCTCTGTTGCGCGCGTGCGCGCGGAGCGGTGGCGCAGCGGTTAGCGCGGAGCGGTGGCGCAGCGGTTAGCGCGCCGCGCGCAGAACCGGGCGAACCGCGTTGGATTCCCGCTCACGGCCATCGCGAGCGATGGGTTTATGCCGGAAACACACTCATCACACTCCTCAACAACACTGTGTGTATGTATGTGACACTAAATAAATATATATGTATATAAATATATAAATGTGCTCGCCGATGTTTCGGGCAATGGCCCTTATTCATAGCACATCACCACCCGACACGATTTTGTGACATTTACACACGTTTTATTTCAATACGTAAAATGTTTGGAGGAACGGTGAGGTTCAAAAGACGCGTGTGGCCTGATCATTAATTCCAACGACACGGATCACAAACTTGTGCTTGTAACTTTGTAGTAAACGTGTGCCCCCCCTCCCCCCACCCCCCACCCCCAATAGCTCCTACAGCTGTCCCCTCTCGAAGAAGCGCAAGTCCGGTGCGAGTGAGGACCCCCCGTGCGCGAAGCGGAGGGGAGCCGCCGGCGGCGGCGGCGGAGAGTCGGGCAGCAGAGCGGCGCCACGGGGGGGCTCGGACGGGGGTGGCGGGGAGGAGGAGGGGGGCGGCGGTGGTGGTGAGGAGGAGGAGGAGGGCGGCGGCGGTGGTGGTGAGCGGGAGGGCGACGCGGATGCCGTGGGGTGCAGCCCCGAGGACGCGTACGGGTCGAGCGAGGACACGGGGGAGGCCGTGGCGGGGAGCGAGGGTCCAGCGGCGGCGGCGGCGGCGGAGCGCGGTGACACCGAGGGACGAGAGGAGGGATTCTACTCGGAGGAGGAGGAGGAGGATGAGGCAGCGGAGGAGCAGCAGGCGGCGCGCAGGAGAGAAGCGGCCCAGAGGAAGGGGAAAGAGGCCGGGCTCAGAGACCGGGAACAGCAGCAGCAGGAGGAGAAGCCGTGCACGGGAGGTAAACTCGCTCACTCTCTCCACCACCTCCACCACCTCATCGCTCACTCCCACCACCACCGCCGCTGCTGATGCCCCGCGTGTGCGCGGCACGCAGCGCGCGGTGATGGCCACTGGACTGGCCGGGTTTAGACGTCATCACGTGACCGTCCGCGACAGAGAATTCGTTACCAGCAGCCGCGCGTTGCCCTCCACGGCAGCGTTGCGTCAATCCGCAACCTTCAGCGTCAGGTTCATCATCAGCTATAGCTGCGTGCACAATTATAAACACAGGGCTGCTTCCTCATCATCACCCTCATCACAATCATCATTGTCACTATCATCAGTGTCATGACGATCTGTATCGCGTGCAATCAAAAGCGATCATCGTTCTCGCCATCGTTCTCGTCACCATTACTTTCACCACCAACGTCATTCTCAACAATATCATAATATCATGCATATAATTATCAACATTATCGTCATCATAATCACCGTCATCATCATCATGGCTATCTTCATTTACTACTATTATGAGCCAATAATGTCTGTGTGTCCCGCGCGTGACGTCACTCCACGTCGGCCAGCCCCCCTCATTAATAAGCATGAGCGGATGACGTCACTCCACATGGGGCACCCCCCTCATTAATAATCATGAGCGGATGACGTCACTCCAAATAGAGTTCCCCCCTCATCAATATTCATAGGCTGATGATGTCACTCATGTGGACCCCACCCCCTCATTAATAATCATGAGCGGGTCATTCTTTTAGATTGAATATTTCAGATTAATTGCAATACACCCGTCCTTGGGCGGGCTATCGGCTAGTCTTTTATAAATTGTAATTTATGATACAAGTATGATGACACGATGTAACACGACTTTTGTTCCTGGGTAGTAAGTGTTATTTTCGAATTGCTTATGCCTCCAAAGTACAGAAAGTGGCGATTGTTATTATTCCCCACAAACGTTGCTTCTGTGACCAGGACTTTACGTGAAGGAATGACACAAAAGCACACCACGTTTTCTCATTGAAAATAGGTACATTTCAAAGTATCACTGTCCTGGTCACAAAAGCAAAGTTTGTGGGGAATAATAATAACCATTTTCTGTACTTTTGAGGCATAAGCAACTAGGAAATAACACTTACTACCCAGGAACAAAGAATGTTTTTTTGTTACATCGAGTCTCCAGATCCTTTTTCAGGAGGGTCCTGCCAGGTTTTCGCAGCAGGGAGAGCGCTGTTGCTGTTGCTACTGCTGCAGCTGCTGCTGTGTCATCCCAATTGAGTGATTTGCAGGTATTCCCTTGAGCATTAGGGGGCGTTTGGCCAAAACCAGTCCCACTGTGTGTGTGGGTGTAGCCCCTACCTACCCACACAGTCGAAGCAGCAGCAGCAGCATCACCAAATGATCTGTTCATGTGGAGACGCGTCCCAGAGCTTTGTAGGGTGGATGTACGGCAAGGCCCTCGTTTAACTCACTAGTCCTGAAAAGTGCCGCGTAAAGCGAAACACGCGTTAACAGAAACATTGTCCCATGAATAATGCAACGATACCGTTTGGCGAAATACGACATACGACTACGCACACACGGTGAGATGGCGTTATGACGCGTTATAACGTGGTCTCTGGCCGTTATAACGCGGTCTCTGACCACGTTATAACGCGGTGCGTTCCACGCTGTTCTTGTGCGCGTTCTGCGTTATGCGAAAAGTGTTCCTGAATGTAAGAGCCGCGTTGCAGCGAAAACGCGTTGTGTTAAGCGAGGACTTACTGTGTAGCACCTCAAACAGCGTCGCATAGGCATTAGAATGATTTCCACTGCCGCTGTGATGCCAGCGAAACCCGTGACACAGAATGACTCGTGCAAACACAACGCGTTGTGTGTGTGTGTGTACATCACACACACAACGCGTTGTGTGTGTGTGTGTACATCACACACACAACGCGTTGTGTGTGTGTGTGTACATCACGCAGCGCGGACGCAATGCGCCACGCGCGCCGGGTAGCAGGGTAATTATGTTCACGCGCGAGCCACCTCTGCTTTGTCGCAAGCATTAGTTACCCATAATTAACTGTGAGCCGCCACGCGGCTGATTGCCAGACCACATGACATGATTGCTGTATGAAAGCAGTTGCATTTATTAATTTTTTTTTTAATGTGCTGTATATATATATATATTATGGTATATATAACGGTACATGTTGTGTTAGTTCTATGCAATACGCTAATAATTAATTCGATTTATATTATAACGATGATATGTATGTGTTTGACAATGGGATACAGCTGTGCCCTGGTGTATTGCGGGACACACATTGAACAACAATACCAGCAGCCACTCACCGCTAAGTGGCGGTCACGTCATCACAGCGCTTGTGCCAGACTAGGTGCACCTTGATGGCGTCGCGTTAAGTGTGGAGATGTCGCTGGCAGGAGGTCACGGGACATACCCAGGTGACATGGGTTGACTGACGGAGATGACTGGCAATGCACCACCTGTGGTCCCACTGTGCCACCTCGCTGCGTTTTATCCGCCCGGCGCTCCGCTCGTTGTTGTGAGCGGAGCGCCGGGCGGAGGCATCGGTGCCTGTCTTCTGTTTACACAGCCCTGCAGAACCAGTGGTGTGAATGACACGTTCCTATGGCGGGGGCGAGTATATCCATGAGACAACCACTGTTTATCTGTGTGCGAGAGTGTGTGCACATCGGCGGCTGTGCGTCTGTGTGTGTCACTTTGCCCCTGTGTGTGTGTGTGTCTGTCTCTCTCTGTGTTGTCTGGGATCCACCTGTCCAGATAAGCAGAATGGGAAGGTCAAGCCGGGTGGTGGAGGTGGCGGTGACGTTCGGGATGATTACGATGACTACCAGGAGCTCGTGGCCAAATCGCTTCTGAATCTGGGTGAGTGACGCAGTGGGCAGATGTCCAGCGGTCACCCAGCACTCATTCACGGATCTGGGTCCACCACCACCACCTGCTTCGATTGCTGCTGCTGCTGCTGCGTCTGCTGCTGGTGCTGCTGCAGTAACCGGGCATGTTACACATTCTAGTGTGATCCACTTTACATCTACGATGGCGAGAAAAAGACGAATCGCTCTACACCAGCACAAGCCTCTGGTGAACCACGTGACTCCCGTGTGGCCAGCTCCACTCTGAGCCCCTCCCCTCTCCCCGCCCACTGTGAAAACAGACGCCGCTCCTCCTCCTCCTCCACGCAGCTCCCTGCTGCTCGCTCCGTCCTTCTCTCCTCTCACTCTCTGTCTTCATCATCACCACCCTCTCTTCACCCCCCGACATCTTAGCCCCGTCAGTCCCCGTCCTCCTTCTCCGCCTCCTCGCTCCCCGCTGCTCATCTTGAGCCGTGCCCTCCTCCTCCTCCTCTCTCTCCCTCCTCCTCCTCCTCTCTCTCCGTCTTGGTGGCGACTTCCATGCCGATCTCCCTCCCCTCTCCCGCTCCTCTCGCGTCTCCCACGAATTGTCCCTTCGACTCTGCTCCCCTTGCCCGCGGTGCGTCCGACGGCTACAAAGGTTTCATCGTCGTCGTCGTCATTCTCCTCCAACAAACTGCGACCGCTCCCCTGAGTCCGCGTCCAACCCTTGCCGCGCAGGTGAGATGGCGGAGGCGGCGTCGCGGCTCACAGCTCCACACTCCCCGCGCACCGACGGCCTCGACGACAGCGGCATCCACCTGCCGGACGCTGAGCGCGACGACGACGAGGAGGAGGATGACGAGGAGGAGGAGGAGGACGCGAAGCGGCGGGCGGCGAGGGAGGATGGAGATGCGAAGGAGGATGCGGTGGAGGGACCCCCGGGGGCTGTGAAGCCCGGGCCCCCGTCGGCAGGCGAGGGTACGAGGCGGGGGGGGGCGGCGGTGGTGGGTGGACGGCCACCCGTGGACACGGCGTGCGTGTTGCGGGGGAGCGGTGGCGCAGCGGTTAGCGCCGCACCGCGCTAATGCACGTACTTGCGTTGAACTTCTTTGGCAACGTGCGCAGCCAACCGCGGTCATCGGAGTGCGCGGTGGGAAGGACAAGAACACTAAACACAAAACGCAGGTCTAAATAAAAACAAAGTTGTCAATCCGGCGACCCGAGTTCCATTGCCGCTCACGACCAACAACAGGGACGAATATCTGAACCGGTCCTAGGCCTCCCCGAGGTCGACTCAGTCTCAAATGAGTACCTGATGCAGTGTGTATAAAACATCGGCACTCGGGAGACAAAGGCGGCCCTGCGTTGTGCTGGCCACCCACCCTCTCGTGCGCCGTGCCGCTCTTCATAGGTGCTCGCTAACAACACTTGCCCCAACAAACCGTTGAGGCTACACGGCACGCACCAAATATGATGACGCATTTTATAGAGCAGCGTCGTTCGCGCGAATTCCGTCTTTCACAGCCGCTGAGTAGGATCCACAGACACGAGCTCGAAGGCTGCAGCCTGACCGTGAGCCGGCGCTACGAACAACAGCTCTGCGGTTCTCTACATATGAAGATGTTTGCAGCCAACTTAGTGAGAGCGTTATTCATACCCATCGGAGGAAAGCGGTGCAACCGGAGAAACCCCCACCACGCCTTGCGCGAGAGGGCAGCACCACTCTGTCCCATCATACAGAAGGGACAGATGATATCAGTCCACACTTAGTAGTAATAATAATTATTTTATTTTATAGAGCGTCATTCAGGAAATTCCCACAACGATGCACATCAATTAGAACGTCCCTTACACGGGTGATGCAACAAAACCCCTCTACTTAGCAAATAAAAACTAAAAGATGAACAGATAAATAACGAGAGAGAAAATACACGTAACAAGAAAGTGATCATCACAGAGAAGATAAATGTAAAATAAATAAATCCACATTGCCTGCGACTGTCAGAGCCCGGGTCCGGCTCCTCCTCGATGACCACGGCAAGGGAGCCTCGTCTGTGCGGTGGTCCACCAACCCTGGCTGCTGCCTGCACAGTGCTGGAGGATCAGAGGCAGTCACGGACTGCAGCGTGGACACCGCCACCACGCGGTCTGAGACATCTCCCGCGTTATCCACGAGCCTCAGCAGCAGCAACAGCAGAGAGGAAGAGCAACCACAGAGGCGGGGGGGGGCAAGGGAAGGGGGCAGGGGGGGTCACTGTGAGAGGTGCGAAGTTGGTAATTGGCTGTGTAATTCGTGTTGTTTCAACACGGGCTCACACACTCCGTACGCGATGATAGCTGCACAGCGTGAGATCAGCAGGAGGCAGGGAAACGCACATTCGTACGCACAGAGACAAAGATCCGCCGTGTAGCCTTCAGCAGACGGTTGGGCTAAGTGCTATTAGCGAGTAGCGCCTACGAAGGCAGGGACAGCGCACTGTGAGATGCACAGTGTGACCAGTGCCACGCCCGGCCACCTTTGTCTCCCCAGTGCAGATGTTTACACACACCCACACCAGGGGAAGCCCATGCCCGGTTCAGGCAATCGTCACTGGTGTTGGCCGTGAGCGGGAATCGAACTCGGGTCGCCAGGATCGTAGCGGCGGCGGCGGCGGTGGTGGTGGTGGTGGATGGCGGTGGTGGTGGTGGTGGTGGCCGCGTAACCTCGAGGTGAACTGCGCCGTGGAGATGTCATCGCCACTCAGTGGCGAGCGGCGGTTTTGTTGATGGCGGTGGTGGTGGCAGCGGTGGTTGAGTGGCGGCGCTGGTGGTGGCGGTAGTGACGGTGGTGGCGGTTGTTGAGGTCGTGGTGGTTGTTGAGGTCGTGGTGGTATTGGTGTTGAGTGGCTGATGGTGGCGGTGTGGAGCGCTCATCGTGCTGTGCCGCGTATTGTGCCCAAGAGCCCGAGCGGAGTGCGAGGAGGAGGGGGAGGAGCGTGGACCGGGGGGGCGCGGGGCCCCAGCAGGAGCGGGGGGAGCAGGGGGCGGCAGCCCTCGAGGAGGCCGAGGCCAACCCGCGATTTCATTCCAAGGTTCCTCACTCATTCACTCATTCACTCATTCAATTGGGGTTCGCCCCGCCCCACCCCCAGTCATTCCTATGTAAATTTCTTGGCTCGTTTTTTTATGCGTAAATTTATTTAAACGCTCATTCATTCATTAATCCGTTCACTTATGTGTGTTAAGTAGTCCCACTGTTCTTTAATCCGTTCAGTCATTCGGGAATTCATTCGAGGATTTTAATCGTCAGTTGAATCATTCATTCACACAGCCTCTCGGTTATTCATTTGTCCATTCAAGGGTTGTTGCTCTCTGTACTAGTTTAGCTGTTTGGCGGTGGTGGTGGCGACTTGCCCGTCACGTGACCCTGCCCGTCGCAGCACAGGGCACCTGTCGGCGATCGCAAGTCGAGGGGGGGGGGGAGGGGGGTGGGGGACGTCGATTGTGACGTGGAAGTCAGCAGCAACGTTGGTTAAACGACCGATCGTGCGGTGATCAGGATTTGTTTGTAATCGATAGCCCGGTGGTAGCGCTGCTGGTGGTGGCGACGCTGCTGCACGTGGCTGCCTGTAACCCAACACTGCGAGGAGGCAGCAGCGAGGGTTGGTGGGTCACTACGATGGCTGTGGAACTCCCTTCCTGCCACGTGGGTGGGCATCGCGAAGGAGCCACACCCTGGCAATGAAGCAGGACCATTGCCCGAAACATCGCCTGCTATATATATTTCTAATACAGCCACACGCGCACATTCCGTGTCATTGACACGACATGTATCGAGCAGCAGCGTCGCCAGGTAATTTGGCCCTTTTTCATAATCATATGATAATAATAATGCAACGTTGGGGGTTTATTTGTAAGATGTTGTCAGCCGATTACCGATGAGCCGTGTTTATTATTCACGCGGGGAGGAGGAAAGCGGAGCACGCGGAGACAACCCACGCTCTGTCCCCGTACGAGCAGAAACAGATGGAGATTAGTCCACTCGCTGTACCGCCTTCTCGTGGGCGAGCCAGGGTACGGCTCCTCCTCGCCGCCCACCCACGTGGTAGGAAGAAGGGAGTCTCACAGCCATCTGAGCGGTGACCCAGCAACCCTCGCCGCTGCCTCGGCACAGCGCTGGGTTCGAGGCAGCGGCGTGCGCCGGCAGCAGCGTAGCCACCGCCGCCATCGACCGGCAGACGAGGGCACCTGAACAAGGCGCCCCGGCGTGACCCGCATTGTTTGTTCTGCGCCGCGTGGACCACGTGCCAGACGCAGGTCTCCATCAAGCAGGAGCGGGACGACTGGGGCCGCCCGGTGCCCGCCCCTGCGGGGCCAGAGGTGGCACAGGGGGGCGGTGGCGGGCAGCAGCAGCAGCAGGAGGAGGAGGCGGTGATCGTGGAGCGCGCGAGATCCCTGGGCCCCGGCGAGCCCTGCATGAGCAGCCTGGAGTGCCTCCGCAGCCAGTGCTACGACCTCGCGCGCAAGCTCAGCGACGACACCACCACCGCCGCGGCGCCCCCCGCGCCCGACGCCGCCGGCGCCGCCGCCGCTGTGGCCGTGGCGCTGGTGGCGGCGGACCCCCACCCACTGCGCACCAACTCCTCTGTGTCGCCGCCATCGTCGTCATTGACAACAATAACATCATCGACATCGTCTCCTGCCTCTCCTCCACCCGCCGCTCAACATCACCACCCCCCTCCTCCTGCTGCTGCTGCTCCTCCTCATCTTCCTCCTCCCGCGCACGGCGCCAGCGCTCGGCCAAAGCCCGCGCCGGTGCCAGTGAAGGTGGAGGCGGTGCCCGTAGAGGTGGAGCAGGGTGCCGGCGGCGCTCGCCGCTGCCCCGACATGCTCAACCTCCTGCGGCTGGAGGAGCACCTGGGCCCTCCCTACCGGCCCCACGACCGCTCGGGCTGCGCCGCTTCGGCCAGGGCGGCGCCAGCGGGCGGGCACGGCGCCCGGAGGCCGGCGGCGTTCCCCTCGGCGTGCCGCGCGACGACGGCCGCGGGGCCGCCGTCGCACGTCAAGCTGCCGTACGCGGAGCGCACGGACGGCGGCTACATCCTGTCGGAGCGCGCCTACGTGGCGGGGCGGCTGCTGCTGCCCGAGACGGCGTCGCGAGGAGGCTTCTCGTCGGACGAGGAGGAGGAGGACGACGAGGAGGAGGAGGATGACAGCTCGTGCGGGTCGCGCGAGGAAGAGGAGGAGGAGGAAGGAGACGAGGAGGATGAGGACCACGACGATGGCTTCGACGTGATGAAGGGCAACATGTCGGTGCTGGAGGCGGCCATCGCCCTGGAGACGGAGCGCGCGCGGTTCATGCGGCGCGGGGCCCTGGCGGGCGAGCTCGCGTGGCGCGCCGAGGCCGAGTTCGGCGGCGGCGGCGGGGCGCGCGTCGGGGTCGGCGGCGGCGCCGGGGGTGGCCACAGCCCCCACGCGCGCGAGCGGAAGCCCTTCGTGGTGGAGGCGCACGCGCGGAAGCACTCCGCCTCCTCCTCCTTCCTCAGAGGTGCGCGGGGCGGGGGGGGGCAGGGGGGTGGCAGGGAGTGCGGGGAGCGGTTGTCGGCACCCGCACTCACGGCTGTGAGTGGAGGAGCTCCGAGGTGGGGGGGGGGCGAGTTCAGTGTCGCTCCTGGCTCCGCCAGACGGGGTTTGGCCATGACTCCTCACAGATGCTAGTGCAGTGGTTGGCGTGCTTCAGCACGGACCCGACCACCCGAACATCTGAAACGGTGCTGGGCCTCTGCGAGGTCAACTCAGCCTCAAATTAGTATCTGGTCTGATGTGCAAATATCAGCACTAGAGATACAAAGGCGGCCGGGAGTGGTGCTGGCCACCCACTCCCTGGTGTGCCATAGGTGATCGCTGACAACACGAACACTGCTAAAGGCTACACGGGGGATCTTTGCCTTCGAGGGTGGGTGAGTGGGTGAGGGTGGGTGGGTGAGTGGGTGAGTGGGTGAGTGGGTGAGGGTGGGTGAGTGGGTGAGGATGGGTGAGTGGGTGAGGATGGGTGAGCGGGTGAGGATGGGTGAGGGTGGGTGAGCGGGTGAGGATGGGTGAGGGTGGGTGAGAGAGAGAGAGGACGACTCAGGGAGGAAGGACGACTCAGAGGGAGAGGACTCAGAGAGGAGAGGACGACTCAGAGAGAGAGGACGACTCAGCGAGAGAGAGGACGACTCAGAGAGAGAGGACGACTCAGAGAGAGGCGAGCTTTAAGGCAGCAGCAGCAGCCACGTGGTGGTGATGAAGATGAGTTAGCGCTACCAACAGTTTGCCCAAGCTTTGCGGTCTTATCTATATTAGGCTGTCGTCGGCACGAAACAGCGGACATTAAAGATGCCGTGGCGTCATTTTCCGTCGTGTGCCGGCGTCGCGGTCCAATTCGACAAACGAGAAAATAATGATTCTAGATTTGAAGCTTTCGTGACTGCAAGGATTCATATTCTTAGGTTTTTTCGGTAAAGTCACGTAGGTAAAACATCAAAATTAATAAAAATAAATAAAAATAATGACCCCGGCAGCAGCGGCCATCACCGCTCCTGGCAGCTGACTAATGCCCACTACTGGCAGCAGACTGGTCCCGTGAAGAGGAATTGTGACCTCACCGTTCACGAATAGGAATAGCGCCAATGCACCCGTGCACAGGAGTGGCAGCCGTGTCCCATTGGCAGACGGTGGTGGCGACGCTGCTGTAGGCAGGCACTGTGGAGCCAGCACCGAGGGTTGGTGGATCACCGCACTGGTGGATGTGGAACTCCCTTCCCGTGGGTGGACGTCGAGGAGGAGCCGGACCTTGGCTCTACCGGGAGAAGGCGGTACAGCAAGTGGACTGACCCCCATCTGTGTCCATCTGTACGGGGCTTGGGGGGATAGAGCGTGGCCCCCTCGCGCAAGGCGTGGGTTGTCACCGCGTTCTCCGGTTTCCTCCTCCTCCCCACGTGATTAATAATCACGACTCGTCGGTAATCGGCTGCCAACGTCTTACACACAAACACCTCAATGGAGCAGCAGCAGCAGCGGCAGGACCCTCCAGGCAGTGAGTCCTGCGACTCAGCAGCGTGGCTCTCTGGATACATCAGAGCATTGTGCATTCGCTTAACGAATATCAGCCTGCGCTCGTGAATAAGAAAACAGCCTTACAACTAGAATAGGGAACATACCCCCATGAATATGAACATAATCCTTGCCTCGTGGATGGAAAATTACCGCAGTTCCTCCTGAATAGGAATTGAAGCCCTTACACATGCATATGAACAGCAGCCATCCCCCATGAATAGAAATAGAATCCTTGCCGTATGAATTGATGGGAAAGCAGCGTTGCCCTCGTGAACTAGAATAGCAGCCGTGCCCATGAACAGGAACATCGGTCCTGGCCTACGAATAGGAGCAGCGACAATTGTCCCCGTGAACATAAACAGCGCTCTTGTATCCATGCATAGGAATAGCGGCCCTGCCCCCGTGGATTCCAGTCGCAGCCTTGCCCCCGACGCGAATAGGAATAGCGGCGCTGCCCCCGTGGATTTCAGTCGCAGCCTTGCCCCCGACGCGAATAGGAATATCGGCGCTGCCCCCGTGCATAGGGATGTGAGCGATGGCGCGCGCCGTGCTGAATAATGAGCGCACGGGGGGATGAGGGGAGGGGAGAGAGGGGGGGGGCGATCGCTGCACGCGCGCAGAGCGATGGGACGGGGGGGGGCCCGGAGCGAGGTCGCGGGAGGACACGGCCCCACCAGCAGCAGCAGAAGCAGCCAATCCCGGCTCGCGCTCTCTCCCTGCCGCTCTCGCTCTCTCTCGCAATCACTCGCCATCTCTCACGTGCTCGCTCTCCCACCTCTCCTCTCATTCATTCTCTCCGCCACTCTCCTGTCATTCATTCTCTCTCGCTCGCAATCTCCTAGCTGCTCGCTCTTTCGCTCTCCTCTCGCCTCTCACTCTCTCTCTCTGCTCTCATGCATTCCCTCATCTCTCTCTCCGTGGCTCTCTCCCTCTCTCGCAGCCTCTCATCTGCTCACTGTCAGGCTCTCCTCTCATTCATTATCTCTGTCCATCTCCTTTTTCTCACCATCCCTTACACTCTCTCTCGTTCTCTCTCAGCGCTCTCCCGTTACAGTATATATTCATCTCGCTCTCTTATTTGCTCCTCTCTCGACCGCCATCTGTCTCGCCATCTCTCTCTCTCCTTGAGTGAGTCAGTTAGTGAGGGGATGAGTCGGTGAGTGAGTTAGTGAGTAGGTGGGTGGGTGTGTGAGTGAGTGGGGGAGATCTGAGCATCCTTCACAACACGCTCACTCACCAACCCACTCAGCCAACCATTTACCCACTTACCCATCCATTCATTTATCTACCCACGCACTCGCCCACTCGCTCACCCACTCGCCCACTCACCCACCCACTCACCCACCCACTCATCCACTCACTCACACGCCCACTCACCCACCCGCTCGCCCACCCACCCGCCCACTCACCCACCCACTCACCCACCCACTCACCAACTCACTCACCCGTCCACTCACCCACCCACCCACTCACCCGCCCACTCACCCACCCACTCACCCACCCGCCCACTGACCCACTTACTCACCCAACTCACTCACACACCCACTCACTCACCCACCCACTCATCCACTCACCCACTCACCCACTCACTCACCCGCCCACTCGCCCGCCCACTCACCCACGCACTCACCCACCCACTCATCCACTCACTCACCCACCCACTCACCCACTCACTCACCCGCCCACTCACCCGCCCACTCACCCACGCACTCACCCACCCACCCACTCATCCACTCACTCACCCGCCCACTCGCCCGCTCATTCCGCGCGGCTCTCAGGGTCTGCTGGAGTCGCCCGCTCGCTCCCTGCGCGTGGCC